TCGCAGCAAGAAAGGTGTGACTGAGAAATGCCATTTGGTTGTCACGGCCGGGGTCGATCCTTTTTCTCCTGAAGCTTCTGATGTGGCTCAGAAAATTCAAGAAGCACATCCAGATCTGTATCTCCCCCCTCCATTTGATGCTCAACTTGATAGCGATCTCTTGAAACGGGGTCGACGAGATCTCCCCGAAGAAGTTGAGATGCTAGATGCACCGGTATACGTGGCACGGGCTGCCCAGAAGCGGGTTTTGGATGAGTATGATGATGATGGAGAAGACTTCCCGCCGCCTGCAAAGCGTGGTCGAAAACGCAAGAGTATGTTTGCAGATGGACGCCCTTCAAGATCCCGGGTATGGCAAGGCGACATGGGAGAGCCAATGTGCTACGAACACTTTGAGTCCTCTCAAGGTGCTCCTGAAGCCCTTCATTTTCTGGACCCTAATACATGTTTGGAGGAAGATGGTATCGAAGGATCAGAACGCTATTTCACCGATGACTTCAGGGCTATTTTGAAGCAACGGCTTTCCAGCTCTTTCTCAGGAGAGATTGTTTTTGACAAGCCTATCATTGTTTCCGGCTACGATGGTGTATGGCCACATATTGCACTGGAGGATTTCGAGATGCAAGATGCCAGTTACACGTTGACAGGATGGATGCCTGACCCGAATTGGTTTGCCTGGTCATCAATGATAGACATGATTGACAGGAAAGCGCATTCACTCAACCGTGATAAGCTCCAGCGCCAAGATGTTCTTGACCCGTACCGGTGCTTTATTGAGAGGCTGTACTGTTGCATGGACCTGGAGCGAGCGTGGTCGGAATCATTCACCAATGCACCGCCTGGAGCAGCCGGTCCTCACAACATTTTTATCTCGTTCTCGAGCGAAAAGGACGATCAAGTGCTTGAGACTCCAGGCCCCGAATTATCTTGGCCCATGGATTGGCAGCTTACCCCGAAGTCTTTCCCAGGAGATGTTCCTGACCGGGCTCTTTTGGTGCACGCTTCGTCTGATGAGGAAGATGATAGTACCGAATGGCCAGAGTTCCCGGTGTACGGGCAACAAAAGCTTGCTCGAGGCGCTGGCCGCCAATCGAGAGGCCGAGGTGTCGGTAGAGGCTCAGTCAGTCGACCGCGAGCGTCTATTAGTCGCCAGCAACTAGCACAACAACCAAGAGTCAAACGAGTGCGCTTGGTCACACGAGCTCTTATGCCCATTCCCGAGGAAGCTGAGCAGAGACAGCAGGGCCAGAATGACCAGCAGGGCCTAAGCTCTGTTGACAGTGACTCAGAACGTCTCCTAGCTGCTTTGGTCGCCGTTCGTGTTCTCCTTGGTGGTGCCGACAAGTCTGTCGATTGGGGATTACTCCTTAAGCTTTTCCCGAATCTGGCCCTCAAAGATATCCGCCGGTTCTGGATCGATGCTCGGAGAGAACAGGGCGCCTATGTCAGGAAGCTAACCAAGGATTTCCAAGATCGGTTCATCGTTGCCTACTCTAAGAATGAGCTCCCAGAATTCGACTTTGAGGATCCTATGGACTATGACTGGGACAGTTTGATTGAATGGACCCTTGAACTGCCTCGCAGAAAGGGTGTTGACCTGCCATCGACCAGGCATTATTTCGAAGACAATTTTTCCACCTCTGCAGCCGCTACTCATGAGGAAGAAGACCCACGGGAGAAATTCTACAATCCTCAGTCATCTGTCTTTGCCCGTTTCGAGGCTGTCACTTTCCCGGCATTTGTCGCTGTTGACAATATGGTCAGTGGCCTGGGTCAGAAAGTCAAGATTACGAATGAGGTCATTGCGAGGTCTTGGGTGAGATCTCTCTGCTGCACAGATGAGAGTCGCTACACAGTTGACCAGATACAACAAAAGTTTGGAACACTCGCAGACGGCGATCAAGACCAAATCAATGCCATATTGAAGGAAGCCATCGATGTCTTGACGGCACAGCGCATCATTTGCAAGAGCAAGCGGCCACCTCTTTCGGGAAGACCATTCAGACTGAATGAAGCTTTTGGGCATGTACTTGGGAAGCTCGCCCAACGAACCAAGTACCAAGATGCTGCAGACTTCAAGTCAAAACTTGATGCGACCTTCCGGCGTGGTGAAGCTTATCAGGTTCCTTTCAACCTCCAAGACGGAGCTGTGATGGCTCTCATGAATCTGAACGCGAGTGAGAGAATCAAGCTCACCCCAGTAAATGTGCCTCACATACCTCTGGGTTTCCGTCCGGGGTATTATGAGATGCGCAAGTTGAAGAAAGACAGCTACTTTTGGAACATCGAAGCAACGCCTACGGACTCGTACAAATACGACGAGGACGTGAGTGTCATCCGGAAGAGCATTAATGAAGGACCACCTACTGCAAAGCACTTGCTTCCACAATGGGTTGACTTCTTCGGACGTAGAGATGCAGAGCGATGGATGGACGTCTTGGGAGCTTTCTGTTTTGTATACGCTACAAGAGGATATCTTACTATCGAGGGTGTGTGCAACGCACTCAAGCCGATCCTGGAAGAGTTCGAGGCCGAGCTTATCATGGACTGGGGCATAAAAACAGGCGTGCTTGAAGAGGACGAGGATGGCCTTGGGCTGAGAGTCGGAGAGTGGTGGTGGTTAGCTGTACCGTGGCAATGTGGACGGCAGCTCAAAGCAAGGGGAGAAGTGGAAGATTAAGAATTGTTAAAATATCTTATTAATGAGGAGTGTCTTCCAGGAAACTGAGATGAAAGCCAAACCATGTTTGCCATAGTAAATAATATCTCTACAAGATATAGTTGCCACAGCTTTGCGTCTTATATAGAGGGGCGGGCATCACTTTCATCCACAATTTTTAGCAAACTTGGTGGTTTGAGTTATAAAATCACGACTTTCCCCTATTCCTGGTTGCATTACTTTCTCATCTCATCTCAAATTCTTTTTTACGACCTTGTCCGTTTTTATATATATCCCTTAACATAGCTCAGGTTGTGAGGCCAAGCAAAAGGTCGATGGCTACGTAGTGGCAGCTGAGCAATGCATATTCACCTCCGGCAGTAGAGTTTCGAAACCGGGAGTAACTCTCAGAAGGAAGAAAATAAGACAGAAAATAAGAGGTCTGCGGGCTTGGCAGTGACATCTTTGCTGGCTCGTTAACTCTTCTCAACATGGAAGATACCTACTTCACGAGGTCCTTAAAACCATAGGGCTATGAATATCATGCCTATGACACAGTGAGTATATGCCTTTCAGGTGATCGATCAAGTTGAATTTTGGTGACTGAAGCTCCATCCTCGTACAGAATATCAGAAGCACGTTTAAACCGCAGCTTAGGAGCAGTGAAACCTTGATGAAAGATATATAAACGGCCGGGGGACAATGACAGCGAAAGCTTGCCCCTTTACAGCTGATATGTGGTATATAGTTACAGGAGCTCTGATTTATGCTGTATAGATGGGATCACCATCTTGAAAAGAGTCTCTCGTTCTCTCAACTTGTCCCCAAACATTTCGGGGGAAGTCAGTTCACCAGCAACTGAACCGACATCGACATATCGACTGAACTTTATCATGCCAGAAACACGAAAGACAATCTTTGTTTGCAGAAAGGCACGCTTTTCTATATCTATATATTACAACATCCCACCCGATCTCGGCGATTGCGTGCTTCCCGTCAATAACTATAGAATCTGGACATCCATGTAATCGCCAAAACACTCAATAAAACCGGCATAACCGATAGTATTGTGCTTATGTGGCATATTTACCAGTTCGACCTTCAGCTTCTGAGGGGATTTTAGCCGGTTGATGCTACCAAAGCATTCCTTCAGAGGATGAAAATTGTGTTCCTTTGACTCAGAACTTTGGATCTCAGTTCTCTTGGGGACTATAACATAAAATGTGCGAGCACCGCTGAGAGAGAGGACCCTGGCCATGTCAAAGACTGGCAGACAGCCAGAGGAACAGTATGGCTATCCATAGAGGATGCTGTACAGGACGAGCACACCGTTCCAAGACCAGCGAAGAGAGCCGGTCCTTTCAGGGCGAGAGTACTACGACTCATTAGTCAACATCATTCAAAAGAGTCAAGCAATCAAGTCAGCCACCACCACAAACATATACACTTTCTCTCCGTCCAAGGACGAAAGAGAGTCCACTTTGCGGACAATCCTGAAGCAGAAGTAACCGAGTCCAAAATTCGAGACAGGGGAAAGACCTTTGAAACTCGATATCCCCCATCACCAGACAACACCAAGTGTCAACGTTTCTTTCAAGGATGCATCAGGCAAGTCCAAGCATATAAAGGGAGGCCACCCAGTACAAAGACGCACAGAAATGTTCTCTGATAGATCAGCCTCAGGAACCAAGATAGAGGCCTCCTGTAGTCCATTTACGTGTTTCTCGTCCGGCTGATATCTTGTTGTTTTATATGACTTGATACTGGCCTTAAGGTTGTCAGATGAAGTAGTTAATAGCGATTCGGTGACTTGGACTAGAAATCCTAAACTTAGGATATTTAAGCATAACTTAGGATCAATTCATCATAAGTTTAGGATGGGGTCCTTACAAGCTCTTCTAAAGATAGACTATATGATTTAAAAGAGTAAAAGAAAAATGATAGTTGCTGCAAACGGCAAAAACATACAACAGCGGGGATTCGCTGGTCGTCACCGACCCAACTACTAATCCGCCCCTTACCAGCTTGACTATGGGAGAGCGGACGGGATCCCGTATTTTCTGGTAGGTATGGTCGTATGTACAAGAGGTTGCTGCAAGCTGGGTTATACAATCTGTCTCAGGCTGAACTACAACGGCCCCTTGAGACTTCTATATCAACCACAGCTGCACCATCGATCAGATCAAATGCGATACTTATTCTCATACTTCAAGTAACGAACCTCGTCAACCAGCTACTCCATTGCATCATTGCCTCGGACCTTCTTCTCTGCCATAGTCCTCGCAGTTCAGGGACCCTCGTCGTGACCACGCTTGGTGTAATGGGCGACATATATTATAATTTAGACACCCACGATGAGTTCGCAGTTTATCGTCAAAAGGTCATAGACCATAAACCACTCAAAGGATTCATTCCGCCATAAATAAGCAAGGATCAACGCTTCCAAGGTGCCCAGGGTAGATAAATACGCCAATAGTCTGGTGAAACTCTCAGCATCCTTTACCTGGAGCGAAGGTGGACCAGCAGAGAAGAAACCGAATTGATCGGGGACGTGTAAAATCTTGGACTGGATGTAATACCCGCCACTGGCCATCTTCAGCTTCCAGGGGTCGAGGGAGTCACGGGAGGGGGGGCTCTCAGGATCAGTGTCGGTCATTCTGATGTGTACGTAGGTGAAGTATTCTATAGAAGCGGTTATGTTCAGGGTCAAACATGATAGAGATGGACAGGAGCTTACCGTAGAAAGTAGTGTATCTGCAGGTATATTTGACTTTAACGGTAGGGGATCTGGTGTCTTTTATATTTTTGTTGAGACAAGGTTCAGCCTGCGCACATAAGCATCCAATGCAAACGCCTTCGAGTTCTCGTTATTGGGGCGACAGGAACCTTGGCTTTCAGGTGAGCCTGGCCTGTCGTGAATACTGATACTTCTGAGCCCACGGCATAGCCCCTATGTGAGAAAAAATTCAAGTTTTTGACTTCCTTGCATCAAAAAGACTAGAATCCCCCATGCCTCTTTACCAATCGAGTAGACCAAAGTCGTTTGTTCACTGAGGCTAGATATTAGAGTACCATTAGTAGTGTACAGGACGTCTTATCTCACGTTCAAGACGGTAGTCACATCAGACTCAAATTGACCGGATATCTAATTCACCCCCTAACTGACTGATCCATGTGAAAACACCATACGCCATGCCGACAATAACATACGAAAATCCATAATACGCAATCACACAGCAAAGATGATCTTGAGAACGAGGGCCACCAAAAGCACCACCAAAACAACGATAGTTCGATCAAGCCACAGAGGAACACCATCGTCTGTTGCTCTCCGAGCTTGCTGCGCTTGGGCCTGTGCCGCTGCCTGTGGTACAAGTCCTTGAGCTGCCGGAACGGGGAGGGGTGTGGTTCGGGTCGGAGTGGGGTTTCGGTTCTCTGCTGGTGGTTGAGGGGCCGAAGAATCGTTGGCAGCTGTGACAGCATCTGGTGCGGTCTGAACAAATCCCTCTGCAAGCTGAGCGGTCTCGTCGTCGTCGTTTGTCTGTTCGGGTTTGCTCTCACCCTCCTTCTTGGCTCCCATCTCATCTCGCCATCCCATGTTCAACTCTTTGGGGATCTCGACTTCCTGTGCGCTTGATGATGCTTCCTTTGCTCGCTCTTCGCATTCCTTGATGATCTCGCCGTTTGTCTTCCCGCATGTTGCGCATTTGAATGCCGGTGACTCGTTGGCAAGACGTTGGCGCACTGCGTCAGTGGTTTCAAGACCTCCAAGCTGGCCACGAGCATCCGTCTCCATAAAACTTCGGAGCCTATACAAGAAGAAATGTCAGCAAACTCAATACCTTTAAGGACAGGAGGAGAACATACGCTACAAGAGCTGTCCGTACTCCCCATGCAGGTTGCCACGTCTCCTCATGATGGCCACTGATACTCAAGCAGATCTCACGATTGGCTTCGAATCTACCACTTGGTGTCATGAAGCGGAAAGAAGGCGGCCGAAGAGGGTATGTGGGTGGAAGAACTATGCGACCATGATAGATGCCGTTACTGTAGACTGAGTTGGGTGGACCCTTGAGTGTGAAGTGCCACTCGAACAGGTCGGATTCGAGGGGCTCGGCTGTGTAATCGGCAGAAGGTGAGTTGGAGATTTCGGCTGCTTCACGAACTATTGCCCAGGTTAGCAATGGGGTCGATAACTCGAGGTGATGATGCTCTAGTATATGGCTTGTATGTTTTGGAGCTGGCCACTTACGTATTCGTCTAATCGTAGGTGATTTCGAGCTGAACTTTGGAGTCGTCATGGCGAAGATGTTTGTAGCGTTCGCTTGCGAGTTTCGTGTCACGGAAATGGAAGCTCCCTTGAAAGATATATATGTATATGTATATGTCGTTGGATGATTGCTTTAGACGGTCATTGCTTGGCGAACGTGGGGAGCTCGTTTAGAGAAGCCAGCTATCGAGCTTGCGAAGGACAACGTGGAAGTTTAAATAATACGGGTTTCAGCTTGAAAGTAACGATAAAATTCGAGTAGCAATAGCGGATCCAGTCAGAGAAAATGGAAGTAAGCTTAGTCTAGGCAGGAAGTCAACGAAGCTCTTGTAAAACGCAAAACGCAAGGTGGTATCTTATGGGATGTGCTGCGCTGCTTGCCTCGTCTCGTCCCTATGATTGCCGGAACTAGAGTGGGCGGAACCCCACTCATGATGATGCACGCAAGACGGGCTCTTATACAGCGCTCCATCCACTATTAGCATGCGCATGCACTAAACCATAAGACATCTCCTTAGCGGGCTCACCCAATCACAAGCTTCCCTTACCTAAGCACAGCCATCACCGAATTGGCCCGGTTCAACAACTCCATCACGACTGGCCATTGCCGTATCATCACTATCCTCGTCGCCTCGTCCACGGCTCCCAATTCGGTTTCTACGTACGTCAATCACGCTATATCACTCGTCTCAATATCTCGGTCAAGTTCAATTCCCGCTAACGCTTCCGATCTGTGCAGTCCAGAACCCCGAAACGAGCGACTATCACATCCGATTTCATCATGGCTGGTCACGGTCACCACAGCTTCAACGGCCCTCCCAAGCCCCCCGTGGCTCACGTTCCCCGTATCTACCGGTTCACCGCGACAGCTCTAGGCGCTGGCATGTGGTTCTTCGTGAGTCACCCTGGAACCTTGCGACTTTGAACCATGTATCGGAGCATCAAAGCAAAGGTTGCAACGTTTAGACGAAAGGATTGCTAATCAACCAAAACAGCTTATGTACCGGGCGAAGAAGGATGGTATGCATCAAACATTCGCTGACTTGCGAGTTATTGGTTCGAGGGATCATTGGCTAACATGCTTCAGGTGCCGTTCTCCTCGGCCTCAAGCACCCTTGGGACCACTAAATGATCACCATATACGATTACTTCTATTCCTGCGGCAATTACAACAGAGACAGCATTGGGCCCCGATATTAGAGGATAAGGCGGTTCGATGCGGTGTATATAGGGCAGAAAAGGCTCTTGAATTGAAGAAAAAGATCAAATGATATTTCCGAAGTGATGCGCATGATACTCCGAGTGCCGACATATTATGTTCCCTATCATCAATTGCATTCCCCATTGATGGAAATCCCGAAATCGAAGTTATCAAGAACTCTTGTGTTTTCTGGGGAAATTACCCCTAGTGGCACAATGCGCATTAATGAGACCTTCAGATCATTACTATTCACAGTGAAGAATTGGTTCGGCAAACATGTCCATCAAAATTCAGGCATTGGTCTTTTATTCAACCAAGCCTCTTGTATTTTGATCCCTCTAATGAGACTAACAGTTTCACGCTTCCTTCGCTCTTCATACTCTATAACAGCTCCAATCAATACTCACGAACATAAGTCTGCTCTCATCCAATAGCTATGCAACTTGCTTGTTTTACTCCAGCTTAAATCCGAGATGCTTCCGCAATCACCTTATACTCTTTGCGCTTCTTGGCCTTTCCGGTCACTGACTGCTTGATTGAGCCTATCAATCGAGCCAGTCTCAAGGCAAGGAAGTGCTCAAAAGCCCAGGCCACAATAAAGTACGCAGCACCCAATCCAATCAGGAACAGTTCATAGTCCCAGCTCATGTCTGTCAATTGCATCAGGTCGATGACCCATTGAGCAGGAGTCAGGATCATGTAGACGGTTATCAAGAGGGCGATGGAGATGGTTATGGCGAATGGCCCTAAAATATGGTCAGCACTGACTATGAAAGTGGTGAATGAGAAGACTTGCAGTTTTGTGTGGTTCGCTGTCGGAATGGGCGTCCGGCATTAAGAATAACCCCCGAAAGGATGTACTCAAAGCAAGAGAACAGGAAGAGTGCCGTGTTTTGCGAGTTCTCGATGCTAGGCTCATCCTTATGCACCACCGGAGGAATATACCAGGGCTGCTCCTTGACAGTGACGTACGTCACAGCTTGGAAGAAGATGCAAATAAGCATGAATCCCAACAGAGGCGTGAGCACCTTTCGTGAGACCAAGTCCGCAGTAGGTCGCTTGCGGCAAAGTCTTGGAGCAGGTCCCGCCCATCCCATGAAGATAGCGATCGGAAGAATAAGAGCTAGATCAATAAAGAGGAACTGGAAGTCTCCCAAATTGGAAGCCCTGGCATAAAGGAATGTGACTGATGTGAACTGAATTGCTGAGTACAAACTCATGTACTTGAAGCAACTGAAGCTTGTGACCAGAGCGGCTCGGCCCTCCCTAAAGAATTGTTAGACTACTTCAACCAATTTGCTTCTCTCGACTTACTTGATAACTTCCAAGACGCAGCGAATGTCAAACACACGAGAAGTAAAGGGAGCTGCCACGGAAGCTTCCGCCTCAGATAAAGAGATGCCAACATCTGCGGCCTTCAAAGCACCACAGTCATTTGCTCCGTCACCACAGAAGCCACATGTATAATCAATGCTCTGCAACTTCTCGACCAACTCATGCTTCTCATCAGGTGACATTCTGGCAAACACCTTACCATTGATGAGCATCTAGAGGCTTGTTAGCAGGTACAACAAGGGATGCAAAATGATTTACTAACCCGTTGAAGTGCTTGTGGCGACGCAAAGTCAACCATCCATCGGAACACATCACCACTAACAGCCAAAGTATAGTTACGAAGGCTGGTGATCTCGAAAGGCAGTGAAGCATCCGCATCTGGAGGAGGGGGTAGGGGCTGTAGGTGTTAGTCGTGATCCCTTATGGTCACAGCTGCAACAAGAACTCACAAGTAAAGTCTTTTCATTCAAGTGATAGAGGTTGTTGTCGATACTCTCCCATTGAATCTTGGCTTCCGCATCACGGAAATCACCTGGTCGGGTTAGAATAGTTTCACAAGCTGATAAATCCGAAACGTACCCTCAATGAAGCGTGGCACGAAGCAATGGGCCTTTCGATCCATAAGACCACATTCTCGGGCCACGCTAATGGCCGTCAAGATGTTGTCACCAGTTACCATGACTGCGCCAATGTTGGACGCCAGAAGCTCCTCCAGAACTGCGGCTGTTGTGGGCTTAAGCTTGTTCTCGAACACAATGAAACCAACAAAGTCGAGATCACTCTCAACTTCAGTTCGACTCATCTTCTGAGCCTTAACCCAGCTGAGCTTCTTGAGATGCCGGCTGGCGACACCGATAACACGGTAACCTTTGTGGGTATACCAAGACAGAAGCTCGTCGTAATCATCGGGAACTGTGGGAAGTTAGCCGGTTTGAGCCTCTCAATGCTATTAGGAAACATACAGCTTTCAGGGCGGCAGATCTCCTTCATTGCTTCGGGGGCTCCCTTGACAAAGATGTCACCACTCTTCTGACCGAATGGTCGAACAATGACACTGGCACGTCGCAGATTTGAAACGAATTCAAAAGACTTCTGTACTCCAAGCTCGATGTTACCCTATGAGAATGTCAGTAATCAGTTTCCCACGGTCAACACAGGGGCCATACGTTAGGAGGTCGTGCAATAGAGGGCGCCAGTCCACCTTGCTCCTCATCTTCCTCGGAAGCACTCTGCTTTCCTTCTTCGTATGTCCAGCGTGTGAACTCAAACATCTTGAGATCCAGTGGATCTCCGACTAGTTCATCATCAACGGACCGCAGAGAGTGACAGGTGGCCATTGTGTGCAATGCGGCGCGATAGGTATCCTGGGCGTTCTGTCGTGTTGCCTCAGCCAATAGCATCTGGGGCTCGGTTACAATCTCGCTGAACTTCTTTGAGTTACGATCAACGACCCGAACACCCAAAACATCAAGTCCTTCTTCCGTTAATGTCCCCGTCTTGTCGAAGCACATGATGTCGATCTTTCCACCAACATTCACTCGCTGAGGACTGATACAGAAGATCTGCTTCTTCTTCAGTCGACTAAGAGCAAAGTTGGTACCGATCGTCAGAGTGGCAGGCAGGGCAGGAGGCACGACAATTGTGATGAGATCGAGCGCTCGCACAATAATGAGATGCCATGCAAGACCAAGTCTGATGAAGTTAACCAATGAAGCCAAGAATCCGATAGCAGCAACAATAGCCATGACACTGATGTACCGGAATGAATCGCGGTAGAACTTGAAACCTGAGGGTTTAGGGAACAGCATCGATCGTACCAGGGCACCTTTTGTAGTGTTGAAACCAGTCCGGACAACGAGGGCGAGCGCAACGGCGTCGTCCCCTTGGTCTTCCTGAGGCCTTCTGGCGCGGATGATTTTGGTACCACAAAACAGGAAGTGTCTGGCTGTTTCAGGGGTAACTGAGGACGCTCCCAGATCCATCGTGCGCAAAGTCTCATCGGTGGCTGGTAACTTTGAAACGGGAACAGACTCGCCAGTCAACATGCTTTCATTGACGATACAGTCACCGGTGAGCAAGAGACTGTCACTGGGAAACTGTGTCAAACTGGGATCGCTCAATTCGTAGACATCTCCAGGTACCAGTTCACTTGAACTGATAAATCGCCAGAAACCGTTTCGCAGAACTCGCACATCACATTCGAATCGCGAGATCTCGCGGAGACGCTTCATGGTAGCTCGAGTCTCAATGAGGGTGGCAGCAATACTACCAACCGACATGAGGAAGATAGCAATTGCATAATAGTAGTAGCTATCCATGGACCATAGGATAAGACTGGCGATCTGAAATACGTAAAAAGGGTGCAAAACTTCGTCCACCAGAAGCTGTCCAGTTGTCTTCTGCTCGATATCGATGAGGTTGCTGCCAAAGACAACTTCACGGACTCCCCTTTCATCAGTGTCCAGACCAGCACGGGTCAGTCGCACATCGGTCCAGTTGGGGTCTTTCCAACCATTGAAGAGCATAAACTTGTCTTTAAGAGGGTGGAAGCATAGTCGAATGTAGCGGTAATCCAGTGTTCGGAGGTCGTCAATGATAGGGTCAACATCCTCGTCCAATGCATCGGAGTAGAATTTCTCTGGCAGGCCAAAAACTGTTGACAAAGATCGGCCGTAAATCTGAGATCGGACATCCATAGTAACAAGCTCACCCCACTGGTTCTCTATCACGACCCATTCGCACTCCCCAAGCGAAGTTGCTTGTCCAAGCAGACCAACGTACCACCGGGGCAGCCATCGGAAGAGGAGATAAGCGAGACCGCAGGTAAGGATGCACAATGAGATATAGATCGCAGATCCGGTCTTGCTTGTCTTGAAACCGGCGATGACGATTGTGAGATCCTCGTTTTCTAGATAAACTTTTTGGCTGACACGCCCATGGCGTCGAAAGCTTCCAGCAGTGGCTGTACTATCTCGTCGCAAGAGATGGGCATTGACTGAATGGCGAGAGTATGCGGATGAATGTCTACGCAGAGCATAATTGTCTTCGGAAATGCGATAGTCTCGTTCTGGGGACTCGTCGTATTCCTCGTTACCATCAACACCGAATTCCAAGTCTCCGATATCTGAAACGCTGCGTCGGATGTAATCGCCAGCAATGCTCTGCACAGCTACACTCTCGGCGTCGTCATCATCGGGAAATCCTTCGTTATCGTCATCGTAATAGGCGAAGCTGGCAGTCGAATCGGCACGAGGTCGTCGATGGGAAAATGCCGATACACTGGTGGGAAGACTTTCGGCAACAGGACCAGAGAAAAGCTGATAAGGACAGGTCGTTAGTATTTACGATCATACAATGGCAATGGTTCAAGTATTTGCTAGTTACCTCCTCATGCGCCATCTCAACATCTTCAAAGATGCTCGACCTGCTCTGATTAGAGCTCATTCGATAGAGTCCAGCGCGACCGTTGCCATTGGCATTGGCATTGGCATTGGACGCACGATGGCGGCGATGGCCATGATCTTGGCCCGGCTCCGGGCTAAGAGGAGCGTCTTCATCCATCAATTCGTTCAAGGCAAATTGTTTCGCATGATACACAAATAAATCCTCAAAGTTGAGATAAGAATTTTGCGTATAAGTTGTAGGTCGCGCGCCCGATTACGTCGTTGGCTCAGCACTTGTGCCCTGACCAAGGCTGACCCGGAGAGTCATACCGATATGCCGAACTGGCCCCGCCATGCATCATTGGTCTGTTTCTAGTACAAGACGCAAGGCTGAGAAGAGAGATGGTTCAGGCCATAATGTCAATAACTCTGAGAGTTTAGTGATGACATACAGTTATCTAGTTATCTACTGGCCTAGAGTGTCCGTAGGATAGCTACAGGATTGGCCAACATGCTGACTCGAGGGCCACGTCAAATTTGTTTCCTGATTGTGGTGGTTTATGAGCAAGGTTCCTCGGCAAAGAATTTGGCTGGGTCTGGGGACCCTGCCCACCTATAGCATCTAGCTGTGAATGCCATCCGCTTCTTTGTTTGACCACTTTGACGACCGCTTTTTTTATTTATCTATTGTCAACAGACAAAGAAGTGGTGGGCGAATAGGATGCTGCATAGACAACCCGCTCCTCCTTCCCGATACAAGGGCGCGCGCGATTCGTGAACGCATCCCTCGACTTGTTGGTATCGGAGATTCACCAAAGCTGCAGCCAATCGTGCAGGGTCCATCACAGTGCGTGCGAGCCACGTTCTATCACGCGTATGTAGGCAGAGAGATACGATCAGTTGAGTTGTTGGATATGCTTGTGCTTCAACCCTTCTACCCGAACCAAAGGGGTATGTACGTATGTTCTTGGTCAGGACTCTTTCGGATCCATCTGTGGCCCTTTGCTTTTTGATGGTTGGGTACCTACGTGTCCAACAAGCGAACTATTATCAGTAGATATTGTAGGGTTGGCCTCGCTTGATTCATGCTCTTCGATGTAACATGTAACTTTGAAGCGGTTCCCCGAGATTATGTACCTTGCTATAAATGTTTGAGCCATGCCATGCCACGAACTATCAAACCCGAGTGTTCCCCTTCGGCCCTTCGGGCGAGGTCGGGTGTATCTAGTCAACAAAAGAAGCCAAAGGCACAACAGTTATTCAGCCTCTTCTTTCTCTCTCAGGGGCAGCATGTCGTCGATATGTCGTCGTTGTTCCTGCTTTGAGCATTTGGGGGCGCCACCATTCCAGAACCTTTGTGACTGAAAGAAGAAGGGCCGGTACTGAAGAGGAAGGGTTACTTTGACGGGCAAGGGATCAGAAGTGTTGTGTTCTGGAATCCGTCTAGATTGTGGCGAGTGCTTCCCTTGTACTGCGAATGGATGAGTCGGGGAGAATCACGCATCCAATCCCTGTGCGACGCCACAGAATGAAAACAAAGTCAAAGTCCAAAGGTACATGCAGATCGTATTTGTGTGGCCTCGTGTGAACAGGTTCGGACATGCACTGTGTTACTGTGGCTGTATGTAGGTCTCCTCCACTCCCCGGCTCCCTTGGGTTTCTGTTGTCTCACTTCTCCGCTCTCTCACAGCGCCTCCACACTCAAAGCTGTTAGGTACCTAGAGCCTGCCCAGAGGAGAGAGGGGGGACCCATTGGATCCTCTCACACAGTTTGGCTGGGCTGGGCAGGTAATTTTTTTTTAGTTAGGCGATCGACCAGTTGAGCTTGGTGCTTGGTGGGCGGCCCAACAAGTTCGAAAAGTGAGAGAGGAGACTGGGCCGACCGAGGGGAACCTCCATAGTACTACTAGTCTACCTTTACCTACCGCCCTCTCTCTTCCGTCTCTCTGACTCCCGCTCTGTTTTGTAGGTACAAGCCCAGTGCCCAAATTTTTTTCAACTTATCGCCCCCCACCAGAATTTAGCAAACGTCAACGGCCGCTGCTTTCTCAACTTCCTTTCATCCCTCTCCTCTCAACCTCACCTCGTCCCCAAAAGACGTTTATCACAAGCGCCTATTCGGATCTTTCATTATCAGACAAAATGGCCGAGCCCATTCGTGGAAAGCGTGCTCAGGACGCCGTGGCTCCGTAAGTTATTTCCTTCTTTCCCTTGCAATATCAATCTTCTGCCTCGGATTGTTTGTTTCTTTGCTTGCCCGCCGCTTCACGATCCACGATGCTAACTACCCCACCTTCGACCAGTACGCCTCAGAACACACCCGCAACTGCTGCTCCCATCTCTTCCCACGCTCAACAGCCGGGCGTTGCTAGTATCAAGGAGGGTGAGTATCTCTTTTTGGTTTTTCATGACTTGTCATGAACCAATCCCTTCAACTCCAGGATGATGGTCTAACCCCGCTGCAGAGGATCTGGACCGTGCCGCCGCGGCTTCAGTTTTCGCCCAAAACCCCAAGCTTATCCAGATGATTCAGGGTCGCCTCGGCTCCCTCGTGGGCCAATCTTCGGGCTACATCGAGTCCCTGCCCGCTCCCGTCCGCCGACGTGTCGCTGGTCTTAAGGGCATCCAGAAGGATCACTCCAAGCTCGAGGCTGAGTTCCAAGAAGAGGTTCTCCAGCTGGAGAAGAAGTATTTCGCCAAGTTCTCTCCTCTCTACGAGAAGCGCTCCGCCATTATCAACGGAAAGACTGAGCCTACTGAGGAGGAGATCAAGGCCGGTGAGGAGGACGATGAGCCCGAGACTGAGGATGCTGCCAAGTCTGAGCAGAAGTCCGATGTCCCCGACAACGTTTCCGGTATCCCCGAGTTCTGGCTCTCCGCCATGAAGAACCAGATCTCTCTCGCTGAGATGATCACTGACCGTGATGAGGCTGCCCTCAAGCACCTCACCGACATCCGCATGGAGTACCTTGACAAGCCTGGTTTCCGTCTCATCTTCGAGTTTGCCCCCAACGATTTCTTCAAGAACACCACCATTACCAAGACATACTATTACCAGAACGAGAGTGGCTACGGCGGTGACTTCATTTACGACCACGCTGAGGGTGACAAGATTGAGTGGTTGCCTGGCAAGGACTTGACTGTCCGAGTCGAGAGCAAGAAGCAGCGAAACAAGAGTAAGCGACAATTTTTGGGGGGGTGGCCCCCTTTGTTCTTTGAACCTGACGACTAACCCAATTCCAGACACAAAGCAGACCCGAATTGTCAAGAAGACCGTTCCTACCGAGTCATTCTTCAACTTCTTCTCGCCACCCAAGGCTCCCACCGATGACGATGACGAGGATGCCGAGTCCGACATCGAGGAGCGCCTCGAGCTCGACTACCAGCTCGGCGAGGACATCAAGGAGAAGCTCATTCCCCGCGCCATCGACTGGTTCACCGGTGAGGCTCTGGCTTTCGAGGAGATCTCGGACGATGAGCTTGATGGTGCCGATTTCGACGACGATGATGACGAGGACGAGGATGACCTGAGCGAGGAGAACGATGACGAGGAGGAGTCTGACGACGACGTATGTTACCTCGCAGCAAACCACTTGTTGATTCTTTGGACTAAACTAACTTTTATGTGCAGGATGAGTCTGGCAAGCCTAAGCAGGAGGCTGCTGAGTGCAAACAGAGCTGAGCGGCGCGATAGAGCGCGACGTAACGCATATTCTCACTCATGACATGATTGGCTTTTATCGGGTTTAAGGATTTTATCTAAGTCACCGACCTACTCGGAAGAAAAAGGGTGGGCGGTGAACGACAGGAAGAAAAAGGCTACAGAAATGGGAAGCGGTTGAAACAGGTCGGCGATCCAGCCGGTGCCGTTTTTCAGAACAAAAAAGGTAGCATCGTCATTTGATAGGCATCGTTTGCAAGAAAAAAAACCTATGGTTTTTGCGAGCAAACTCTGGGACTGGAAACCACGTTGATAGACAGACACACAGCCAGAGGGCACAAGTCGGCCCCGCGCGATTACTATGTTGCCCTCCTCTTTTTTGCAGCCTTTTTCTCTTACTTCGTTATCAGGGGTTCTCTGTCTTGTGTTTTACTTGTTTTTTGCAAATAACGCTGATTTTCGTTCCTGGCATGGATGTAAGGTAGTGACAGAAGGGATGGTTCTTACAGGGAAGGGTGCAAGGGTTTACCAGGTGCATAATATATAGAGAATGATTTTGCCATGATGCAATAAGTTGTATGTTGTTGCAGTAATATACCAGCTTTGTCTATGTAGTTTTGTTTGTTTCTCTTGGTCTTTGTTTACTGTGTTTTGACGTAGTGGCTGCATACTCGCTTCTATCGAAATGCGGTGAGATCGTTATTACCACCACAAAAATGCAAGACATGTTTGGAGCCGACGCCACGACGACAATGTCTCAGTTGTGACCCGGGGGACGTGCATGTACGTCACAGGATGGCGAGTCATGTTGTTTCCGTATGCTGTGTTAATTATGATATATCCTACACTCACTGTTGTTCGTATTAGTACTTGTACCTTACAGACTCCCTCAGGATTCCAATTGCATGTCTTGCAAAGCACAGGGCTTCTCGAATACCATAGTAAAAGACTATCATTGTTCCAACTACCTAATGGATATATAGATTTTGGAAGATCTAAACTGGAATATCATAGAAATAACACTTTACTAGCATCATATAGGGTAGGGTATGATTGGACAAAGGTGCTTTATCCAATAGCTGACCGATAACCCTTCAACTGAATCGCACACGGGACCAATTATGATGAAACATATCAGCACGTTAATTGACTTTGAAATACTGATAGAAGATAATTAATGCCAACAGTTGAATTGACAGATGAAACCAATAAACGGACGTCCGTCTGTCTATCCGCCGCTCAGCTCCGCTGCATCCCGCGCCGGCCTGCATATCCTCCGACTACGCCGCACACCGAATAGAACCACCTCCGCCAGCGGGACTGCTAGAAGAGGTAACACACTGCTGTACCTACCCCTAGCAACCGGGCGCCGGGAGATGCAGAGATTGACGCCATTGCGTGATGGCATGGTGGCATTTCCGGTCTCGGTCAAGGGCCTAGGGGAGGAAAAAAACTCAGGTCCTTAATCCTAAGTGACAAAAAGACTTGGGTAAATTTACCTAGATTTAGTACATCTTTTGCTAAGTTTATTTTGACACTACATATTAAGGCCTGCTGTTTTCTTACTCCCCGAGGAGGGCCAAAGTGAGCAACAGACAGCATATTTTTTTTAAGTGGTCCTGTTCAGGGCTGAGTGTATTGTTAGCGGCGTGGTAGTCCAAAACGCCGAAGGGTATATTCGGCTTGCTCGTTTTCTTTGTTATAAATGGTCCAACGATACTGAGCGAGCTCTTTCATGGCCGACAGCGGACTAATGTACGTAAAAAGTTTTCCTATGCCAAAGCTGTCACGTCCGCAATGTTCCACTCCCACGTTCATGTATGTAGTGTAAATGCGACTAAGAGCCGCAAGGGTACCCCGAGCGAATGCTCTATTTACTTGTAAATGCCCTCTGATTCGGCAGTGAAGGCATCAATACCCAGGATGAGTCAGTTTACGGAAGTCGGTAGACGTTTATTTGCCTGAATTCTGGTGCTGCATCCGGCCCGTCGCGACCTGAATTGTCAGCGCTGGCTAGACTGGAGTCATCTCATCATAGCCCAGCTCATACGTAGGTAGATTTTGGTGGCATCATAAAACCAATTGACTCCCCTCCTGATCGTCCGAGTCTCTTCCTAGTATTCTAAAATTCTCATCATACCATAATCTCGTCCTTTGTTAGACAGCGGGCAATACTTTGATACCTCCTCTGTTCCCAATTAAACGATCTTACTTACGGTAGCTCTCCAATTCCTCCCTCCGAATCTCAACTCCCTGCTGTTTTACGACCCCTACACCCTTCTCCAACAACACCACACCGACCGCGACCGTCGACACATTTCATCATGGCCCCTGCTCCCCAAAACATCGCCAGCAACCTCTCTGCCGCTGCCCAGCGCGGCGAGGTCTCTCACAGCTGGGATAAGAACGTGGCTACCTCGCCGCTGGCTTCTTTCCAGTCTCCTCCCAGCTGGACCGCCAACCTCCCTAACCGTGGCGCGCCCAAGAACTTGAAGCCTTTCAACACCAAGGATATCAAGATTCTACTTCTCGAGAACGTCAATGTCACCGGCCAGGAGATCTTGAAGGCCCAGGGCTACCAGGTCGAAGCCCTCAAGACCTCTCTTCCCGAGGACCAGCTCATTGAGAAGATTCGGTGAGTTCGCAAAAATACCCCGCCATCCCTCAACTTTTTTTTTTGTGAAGTTGTGCCGTGCCCCTCCATCGACGGCTTCACAAATGCCCCTCGTCCATGAGCTCCATGCACCCCACCATGAATACTAACAAATGGTGATCACAGTGACGTTCAAGTCATCGGTATTCGCTCCAAGACGAAGCTCACCGAGAAGGTCCTCCGACAGGCCGAGAACCTCCTCGTCATCGGCTGCTTCTGTATCGGCACCAACCAGGTCGACCTTGAGTTCGCCGCCAAGAATGGTATCGCCGTCTTCAACTCCCCTTTCGCCAACTCGCGCAGTGTCGCTGAGCTGGTCATCGCCGAGATCATCGTTCTTGCCCGTCAGCTTGGCGACCGATCCAACGAGATGCACCGAGGCACCTGGAACAAGGTCAGCTCCAAGTGCTGGGAGATTCGAGGCAAGACTCTGGGTATCGTTGGCTACGGTCACATTGGTTCTCAGCTGTCCGTCCTCGCTGAGGCTATGGGCATGAACGTCATATACTACGATGTTGTTACCCTGATGGCTCTGGGAACTGCCAACCAGGTTCCTACACTTGAGAAGCTCTTGGGTGAGGCTGACTTTGTCACCCTCCACGTCCCTGATCTCCCCGAGACACGCAACATGATCTCCACTCCCCAATTCGAGCAGATGAAGACTGGTGCTTACCTGATCAACGCCAGCCGTGGTAGCGTTGTCGATATTCCCGCTCTCATCAAGGCTAGCCGTGCTGGCAAGGTTGCTGGTGCTGCTCTTGATGTCTTTCCCTCTGAGCCCGCTGCCAACGGTGACTACTTCACCAACGACCTCAATGCCTGGGGCGAGGACCTCCGAAGCTTGAGGAACCTCATCCTGACACCTCACATCGGTGGTAGCACCGAGGAGGCTCAGCGTGCCATTGGTATCGAAGGCAAGTGCACACCTAGAATATCACATTGGACTCCACACTAACACTTACATAGTCAGCGAGGCTCTCGTTCGCTACATCAACCAGGGCATCACTCTGGGCAGTGTCAACATCCCCGAAGTCCAGCTCCGTTCGCTGACTTCCGACGAGCCCGATACCGCTCGTGTAAGTCTATGCCGAAACCCGAATTTGACATGCACAATATTAACCCCAAATCATAGGTCATCTTCATTCACCGAAACGTTCCTGGTGTGCTCCGAAAGGTTAACGAGATTCTCGGCGACCACAACGTCGACAAGCAGATTTCCGACAGCAGAGGCGACAACGCCTACCTCATGGCTGATATTAGCAGTATCAAGTATGAGCAGATCAAGGACATCTACGACAGCCTTGAGGCTCTTAGCGGTAAGTCGAGTCAAGTGAGACAAGGTCAATGCCATAAACTGACAGTTCGTGCACAGCTCGCATCATGACCCGTATCCTGTACTAAGAAAAGAGGCATGGACCACTCGGTGGCTCTGAGGTTCAACCCTTATCCTCTAACTACGACAACTTAGTAAAAAGAAACGCGATGCAACCAACAACCGCATGGGACTTTGAATGCATGGAGAAGGGGGAAATAAAGGGGGCGGCCCGTTCGTTTTGATCCGATCCTTGATTCCCGGACGCGGTTGACGCATTGATGCATTGGCTAAGGTCAATGAAGGAAGGCATGAGCAATTCAAACCTCCATGACGCGACTTGACGATCGTGGCTGGAGGAGGGTTTGCTATTGATGATGCAAGAAGAGTCGGAATCGCCAGATACGGGTACGTACTCCATTCTTGAGCGTGGATCAAATCAAAAGGGGGCTGGTTTTTGCGGCTGGTGCTTGATTAAGTTAATGTAAAAGCTCGCAAACCGACTGGTTGGGCTAGTCGGTGGCACTGTATGGAGTAATATGGCCTGGATGAATTCAACGAACAGAAACATTTGAGCTTCAACGCAACTTAGAATACCAAAATAGGATCAATCCGGTGCGAATCGAGAGGGGGACCCCGAGGGACCCATAGACCATCACTTTGTTGACCTTCTATGTACATCTATCTGTAGACTAACTTCAGTTCCGCGTAAGGGCTGAGATAAGCATGCATAGAGTTTGTTAACTGTTGGCGTAAGCTGCAGAGTTGCTTGACGTCAAACTATGGCTTGTCGATAATAAAATGTTGGGGATATGAGGTGTATTTGCATAGCCGTGTGGATGCCGAGAAGTTCGGACCTGAAGAAGATAATGTATGTACCTTCGGAATTCGAGGTTGGATCTGTGATACATACCCTCGGCGAACAAGCTCCTCCGAGCTGCCTGGCTTTTACGATTGTACCTCGCTGATCCTTCAAATATGTCCTTGATGGACTCAGTTCCTAGTCTTGGGGTTATGGTGGGGATATATTAATCGGCTACTAGGGTTCAAGAATTCCCCAGTATTTTTTGGAATTGGCATCTCCTTTTTGGAGGATCGGGCCTTGCTCATCAATGTCACCGGCGGGTTTCATCTTTAGGCTTGTTGATTGACTATTGAAGTCTGAGAGAATTGGTTCATGATGATTGGTATGTCGACTCTGGTGAACCATTATATTGAGATCTTTGTCTTTCAGAACATCAAGTCAAACTTCAAATATTCCAGAAGTATATAAGCATTGTGTCCAGTAACTACACAGTCTATACGCACAGCTTTTGTGACGGTTACTGCAAAGACAGTCGGTGAAGTTGTATCAAGACAGTGCGACTTGGATCTCGGAGCGTTTGATCGTCAAATGTCAATTAAGGGGCCTGCGACGTAACATTTTTTTGAGCATTAGCTCCAACGAACCCCAATAATTCCTTTGTATCTGTCCTCAGTGACAATCACAGTCTCACCAGGGGCTGATGTTCATGTCCAGTTCCGTGGCATGGTAGAGCATGACAGACACAGTGTCGACTCAATTCCAAGAGCTGTCTTGAGGAAAATGCATGCATTTGTCCTTCGCTTGTTTCTCACCCCAGATCCAAGGAAGACAAGACAAGGTCGAAGACGCGGACGGGTCGGCCCCTCATTGGCTCGCGGGAGTGTCCAGGTAGAGATAGCCCCTAAATTCTTCTGAAGCCAGGAGCTTCCAGGAACTGGAAGGCTGGGTGGGCGTCGTAGAGCTGGATGTATTTAAAACGATCGTGATTGGTATTCTGATGGTGGTGATGAACTGAAGAAATACCAATGGCTGGGCCCCTAGGTACAGCAATGGTCTAACAGGAGTGCCCCGCCCCCCTGTTCCTCGACCTCCAATGTGCCCCGTGCGGCTGCAGTGTCCATCCGGCCCTTTCAATCAGGAGCAAAACGCGTGCTGGCATCACCGACCGCATCCATAACTTTTGACCTGCTCTTCAAGGTCTCTCTTTTTGCCTTGACTTTTGCCTTGTGCGATCACTTAATCTTCCTCGACCTCTTTTTTTTGTCGGCGAGTTCTTTGAGTCCTTGTGTGGGAAGTGAGAGGAAGAGTGTACAAAGCTCGTTTCTCCCGCCCTTGTCAGGTTCAGGGTCCTTTTCTACCACCCACCTTCTCCCACCGTACTTTGGATTACGGGGCACCGGTGTAGCCAAAAGTTGGACGATTTGCGCAAAGCATCCAACAACCGTTCGACCGCACACTTTCAGCGATTCAAGATCGCATAACGCCTCTTTGCATCTGTCATCAGCGGCGTTTTGACGACCACAATCTTTCCCCGGCAGGCCCCGTTGCTTCATATACCAACAGCTGCTGGCGAATGTCTGCTTCCTACGGCCATTCAGCCCCTTAGCATAATATTCGCCGATACCGCTTCGACATAGTCGCATTCACCTCCTGTTCCTTCACATACCGGCCTTGCGCCCGGTCATATCGCCATCATGGCATCGGCCTACGAGGTTGGCACAAGAGCCTGGCAGCCAGACACTGCTGAGGGTTGGGTTGCTTCAGAGCTTATCAACAAGACCGTTGATGGGTCCAAAGTCAAGCTAACCTTCCAGCTTGAGAATGGCGACGTGAGTTTTCCCTTTAGATACGTTCAATGATGCCATTGGCGCTCACCGTTTGGGATCACGAAACTGAAAGGATATTTCTCATATAGACCAAAGATATCGAGGTCACCGCGGAGGCCCTACAGAGCGGTAACGACCCGTCTCTACCCCCTCTGATGAACCCGACAATGCTCGAAGCCAGCGACGATCTTACAAATTTGTCCCATCTTAACGAACCTGCTGGTATGTCAAACACAAGATTACTTTCCGTGGTATTTGGACAATAGTGCTGATACCTTGTAGTTCTTCAGGCAATTCGTTTACGATACTTGCAAAAGGAGATCTACACCTACAGTGGTATCGTCCTCATTGCCACCAACCCTTTCGCACGAGTCGATTCGCTCTACGTTCCCGGCATGGTACAGGTTTATGCTGGAAGACAGCGAGCGACACAAGCTCCCCACTTGTTCGCTATTGCTGAAGAGGCCTTCATGTAAGCATGCACTTTCACATGTCAGCGCAACTCTATACTGACTTGACGCTCAGGGACATGGTTCGCGACAAGAAGAACCAGACAGTAGTTGTCTCCGGAGAGTCTGGTGCTGGCAAGACTGTCAGTGCCAAGTACATCATGCGATACTTCGCTACCAGAGAGTCGCCCGACAACCCTGGTGGACGCTCCAAACGAGGAGCCGAGTCCATGAGTGAGACGGAAGAGCAGATCCTTGCGACTAACCCTATCATGGAAGCGTTCGGTAACGCCAAGACGACTCGAAACGATAACTCGTCACGATTCGGAAAGTACATTGAGATTATGTTTGACGAGCACACAAATATTATCGGTGCGAAGATCAGGACATACCTTCTCGAGCGTTCTCGGTTGGTTTTCCAGCCCCTCAAGGAGCGAAACTACCACATTTTCTACCAGCTTGTCGCTGGTGCGTCAGAGCAACAGCGCGAGGAGCTTAACCTGCTACCTATCGAGGAGTTCGAGTACCTGAACCAAGGGAATTGCCCAACAATCGACGGTGTGGATGACAAGGCCGAGTTCGAAGCTACCAAGAAGTCACTGTCAACAATTGGTGTTACAGATGCCCAGCAGTCCGACATCTTCAAGCTGTTGGCTGGTCTTTTGCACCTCGGAAACGTGAAGATCACTGCATCGCGCAATGACAGTGTTTTGGCCCCCAACGAACCTTCTTTGGAGCGTGCCTGTGCCATTCTCGGGGTCAAGGCCGAGGAGTTTGCCCGATGGATCGTCAAGAAGCAGCTCGTTACCCGTGGCGAGAAGATCACCTCCAATCTCAGCCAAGCGCAAGCCATCGTTGTACGAGACTCCGTTGCCAAGTTTATCTACTCAAGCTTGTTCGACTGGCTTGTCGATATCATCAACCATAGTTTGGCTGCTGAGGAAGTGTTGAACAGAGTCGTCTCATTTATTGGTGTTTTGGATATTTATGGTTTCGAGCATTTCGCCAAGAACTCTTTCGAACAGTTCTGTATTAACTATGCCAACGAAAAGCTCCAGCAGGAATTCAACCAGCACGTCTTCAAGCTGGAGCAGGAGGAATACCTCAGGGAAGAGATTGACTGGACCTTCATCGACTTCTCTGACAATCAGCCTTGTATCGACCTGATTGAGGGTCGCATGGGTATTCTGTCTCTGCTTGACGAAGAGTCTCGTCTTCCCATGGGATCTGATGAGCAGTTTGTTACTAAGCTTCACCACAACTTTACTCCCGACAAGCACAAGTTCTACAAGAAGCCTCGATTCGGAAAGTCTGCTTTCACCGTTTGCCATTATGCCATCGACGTTACCTACGAATCTGAGGGCTTCATTGAGAAGAACCGAGATACCGTCCCTGACGAGCACATGGCTGTTCTGCGTGCCACAAGCAATGAGTTCTTGAAGACTGTTCTGGATGCTGCCTCAGCCGTACGAGAAAAGGATGCCGCCTCATCAAGTTCCAGCTCCGTTAAGCCCGCCGCTGGTAGGAAGATCGGCGTGGCTGTTAACAGAAAGCCCACTTTGGGAGGTATTTTCCGATCTTCGCTCATCGAGCTTATGAGCACTATCAACAATACTGATGTCCACTACATCCGATGTATCAAGCCTAATGAGGCCAAGGAGGCATGGAAGTTTGAGGGACCCATGGTTCTTAGCCAGCTTCGTGCTTGTGGTGTCCTCGAGACGGTTCGCATTAGTTGTGCTGGTTACCCTACTCGTTGGACATACGAGGAGTTTGCCCTTCGTTACTACATGCTTGTGAAGTCTGATCAGTGGACTTCGGAAATCCGCGAGATGGCCGATGCTATCCTTAAGAAGGCTCTCGGAACAAGTAGCAGCAAGGGTATGGACAAGTATCAGCTTGGTCTCACCAAGATTTTCTTCCGAGCTGGTATGCTTGCTTTCCTGGAGAACCTCCGCACCACTCGACTCAATGACTGCGCTATCATGATTCAGAAGAACTTGAGAGCCAAATATTACCGACGACGCTATCTTGACGCCCGTGAGGCCATTGTTATGACTCAGTCTGCTATCAGGTCATGGAAGGCCAGGAAACAGGCCCAGGAGCTTCGCACTATCAGGGCTGCCACTACCATCCAGCGAGTCTGGAAGGGATCTAAGCAACGCAAAGCCTATCAACAAATCCGGCAAGACATGGTTCTCTTCGAGTCTGCCGCCAAGGGATATCTCCGACGAAAGAACATTATGGAGGAGCGTCTCGGCAATGCTGCTCTCAAGATCCAGCGTTCTTGGAGATCACGACGACAATTGCGAGCTTGGAGACAATACCGCAACAAGGTTGTCCTCATCCAGAGCTTGTGGCGCGGAAGAAGTGCTCGAAAGGACTATAAGAAGATTCGTGAGGAGGCTCGTGACTTGAAGCAGATTTCTTACAAGCTCGAAAACAAGGTCGTCGAGTTGACGCAGTCTTTGGGCTCAATGAAGGAGAAGAACAAGGGTCTGGCCTCGCAAGTGGAAAACTACGAAGGACAGATCAAATCGTGGAAGAAGCGACACAACGACCTCGAGGCCCGAACCAAGGAGCTTCAGACAGAAGCCAACCAGGCAGGTATCGCGGTCGCCCGCCTACAAGCTATGGAAGACGAGATGAAGAAGCTTCAGATTGCCTTCGACGAGTCAACGGCCAACATCAAGAGGATGCAAGAGGAGGAGAGAGAACTCAGGGAATCTTTGCGAGCCACAAATTCAGAGTTGGAGACGGCCAGAAGGTCAAGCACGCAACACGAGAAGGACAACATGAGTCTCAGACAGGAGCTGGAGTCTCTGCGGGATGCCCTCGAGCTGGCTCGAAGGAATGCCCCCATCAACGGAGAGCTTGCAAACGGTACCACGCCCGCAGCCGCAGCACCTTCAGGTCTCATCAACCTCGTCTCGTCCAAGAAGCCTAAGCGTCGGAGTGCCGGTGCGGAGCCACGGGAGCTTGATCGCTTTAGCGGTACTTATAACCCTCGGCCGGTTTCCATGGCTGTTACTGGCACGGCGCATCGTCAGAACCTTTCTGGCTCGACCTTCCTACCTGGCGTTGATAATATCGAGATGGAACTTGAGACGCTTCTCGCGGACGAGGATGGCCTCAATGAGGAGGTAACAATGGGATTGATCCGAAACCTCAAGATCCCTTCGCCCAGCAGCACTCCTCCTCCTTCGGACAAGGAGGTGCTCTTCCCTTCATATCTCATCAACTTGGTTACATCAGAGATGTGGAACAACGGTTTTGTGAAGGAGTCGGAACGGTTCTTGGCCAACGTGATGCAGTCCATCCAACAGGAGGTGATGCAGCACGACGGCGACGAGGCCATCAACCCCGGCGCCTTCTGGCTGTCCAACGTGCACGAGATGTTGTCGTTTGTATTCCTCGCCGAGGACTGGTATGAGGCTCAGAAGTCGGACAATTATGAGTACGATCGTCTTCTGGAGATCGTCAAGCACGATCTCGAGAGCTTGGAGTTTAACATCTACCACACTTGGATGAAGGTGTTGAAGAAGAAGTTGCATAAGATGATTATTCCCGCCATCATCGAGTCCCAGTCTCTCCCTGGTTTTGTTACCAACGAAAGCAGTCGATTCTTGGGCAAGCTCCTGCAATCGAACTCAACCCCCGCTTACAGCATGGACAACCTGCTCAGCTTGCTGAACAGCGTCTTCCGTGCTATGAAGGCTTACTACCTGGAGGACTCCATTATTACACAGACCATCACAGAGCTTCTGCGGTTGGTGGGTGTGACAGCGTTCAATGACCTGCTCATGCGACGAAACTTCCTCTCATGGAAGCGTGGTCTCCAGATCAACTACAACATCACCCGTATCGAGGAGTGGTGCAAGAGCCACGACATGCCCGAGGGTACGCTCCAGCTGGAGCATCTGATGGTAAGTCCCACGTACTCGCTAAATCAAGGACAAGACTAACAACTCAACAGCAAGCAACCAAGCTTCTTCAACTCAAGAAGGCCACCCTGAATGACATAGAAATCATTCAGGACATCTGCTGGATGTAAGTAGTGATGCCCATCTGGTCTAACTCGCATACTAATGACTGTAGGCTATCACCAAACCAGATCCAGAAGCTGCTCAACCAATACTTGGTTGCCGATTATGAGCAGCCTATCAATGGCGAGATCATGAAGGCTGTTGCCTCACGCGTGACGGAGAAGAGCGATGTTCTTCTCCTGCAAGCTGTCGATATGGACGACAGTGGTCCTTATGAAATTGCCGAGCCTCGAGTCATCACTGCACTTGAGACTTATACCCCTTCTTGTAAGTAACACGAACAACCTATTACAGGTATTGTAAGCTAACCTGTCTCAGGGCTCCAGACTCCTCGTCTCAAGAGGCTAGCCGAGATCGTGTCGGCACAAGCCATTGCACAGCAAGAGAAGTTCGACTATACTGATGGCGAAGATTACGAAGACGGGCAGCCACAACATCATGAGCTCGCCGGCGTTGATGAGGTGGAAACAGAGTCGTAGGAGATAATGATTAGGCATTTCGAACGCACATAAGGGATAGAAGCCGCATTTTCAGGGTGTTTGATGTCGAATTTTCTAATGGCGGCGTGTAACTGAAAACAGATCTGAGGGAGGGGGTATTCTCCTTGTATCTGGACGGCATCATGTATACTGAGCGAGAACATATTTCACCTCTCGGCAAGCCGGTGAGGATATTTATACTCGACTCTATTTTGTAAGATGAGACACGGCTGTATTGGAGAGTCCGAGAGATGAGAGTACGAAGCGATATCGTGGTTATTTATTCATACTCAAGTGCCATTGATGATGATCTGTGATTGAAGAACTGGGCATTGACGTGGCGATGCAACTATCGAATCCACCGCCTCTTTAGTTGCATGGAATTTCTCTGCGTAGCAGCATTTTGAAGGCTACCCAAACTGAAGAGCCCATCAATCTCTGCAACCTTGTATACAGACAACAAAGCAGCCAAAATGACCACACGAAAACTGCCTAATATCATTATCACGGGCACGCCCGGTGTCGGAAAGACGACTCATTGTGAGGCTCTCGCGGAGCGAACTGGACTGCGCCATCTCTCAGTGAACCAAGTTGTGAAGGACAAGGAGTGTCATGAGGGTTGGAGCGATGAGTTTCACAGCTTTATTGTGGATGAGGACAAGGTGAGGGGCTATTATCTCATCCAGAACTGATTTTGGGGATGAACACAAGTTCTGAGGAGTATGGTGAGAATTTATGCTGATATTATTACAGTTACTAGATGCTATTGAGGACGATGTCAAGGCTGGTGGATGTATTATTGACTGGCACGCCTGTGATCTGTTCCCCAAGAGCTGGATAGACCTGGTTGTTGTGCTTCGAGTTGACTCATCAACACACTACGATCGCCTTATCACAAGGTATGTTGCTCATTACACAGTTCTTGTCATTTCGTTTTGGCTTTGAGCAGAGAACCACACATTTACTGACTCTGTATTTCAGAAACTACCCCGAGTCCAAGCTCCAAGAAAACATCGACTCTGAGATCATGGAAGTTCTCCTCCAAGAAGCTCATGAGGCTTTCGATGAGGAAATTGTGATTGAATTGACAAGCAACACATCTGATGAGATGGACACAAACGTTGATCGTATAGTGGCTTGGCTTGATCAGTGGAAGAAGGACAACAACGAAGAATAACTAAGCTTCAAAGACAATATAAAAGGGATGGTTATTTGCTACAGGGGTTACTACAAAAGTCTTTAGCTATGGGCGTGGGATATTTTGAAGCGTGGACTCGGCTGGTGAAAATAGATTTTTAAATGCAAGCCTAGGGCAGGCTATGAATTGACATGAATCGTTCTACTGGTGGTTCCGTGCTGAGTAAGTGCATATTTTCATGTACAATCACAGTCATAGTGGGGAGCCTATTGTACAGCTCGATTATCTTCAGCTGCTATTTCTCTTTCAAAGGCATATTTCAGTCGACGAAATTTCCACCGCTTCTGTTTCCAAAAGTTATAGAATACAAAAGGGACTTTACGACGTCAAAATGGCTGCACACAAGGTCAACTTCATCACCGGCAACGCCAACAAGTTGCGCGAGGTCAAGGCCATTCTCGAGCCTGAAATCGAGGTTCTGAGCAAATCTATCGATCTCGAGGAGGTTCAAGGCACACTTGAGGAGGTTACAGAGTCAAAGTGCCGTAGAGCTGCTAATCTGGTATGTAAAACTATCTTATCTATCCTACAAACGCTGCAAAGAAAATGAACGTGTTTAACAATAAAATACAGGTCAAAGGCCCCGTGCTGGTCGAAGATACAGCTCTGTGCTATAACGCTCTGAGCGGTCTTCCTGGAGCGTACATGTGAGATTCGATGCTCAAACGCCGAGAAACATGAATGCTGATGGTTGTAAAGCAAGTGGTTTATGACTTCGATCGGTCATCAGGGCTTGAACAACCTGTTGGCTGCTTACACTGATAAGTCCGCTGAGGCTGTCTGCACTTTTGGGTACTGTGCTGGACCTGGCGAGAAGGTCATTCTGTTCCAAGGCCGTTGCCCAGTAAGAAAGAAACTCTCGAGTCCAGTGACCCTGACTGTGCTGATATGTGATACAGGGCAAGATTGTGCCTCCCCGTGGACCTCCTGATTTCGGTATGTGCTGTGAAAAGAATACATAGAGTACATGCTGACATATGAATAGGATGGGATGCCGTATTTGAGTATGAGGGTCAAACGTATGTATTGTTTGAACCCGAACGATGATCTCCGCTAACTCTCATAGCTTTGCTGAGATGGACAAGGCGGAGAAGAACAAGATCTCCCACCGTGGCCGAGCTCTGGCCAAGCTTCAGGCTTGGTTCAAGGACCAGCAGTAGATTGCAGTGAACTACGATACAGCAGCGTACTTTGTGAGGCTAGAGTCTTATAAGTACAAAAGTTAGACCCAGTCAAGGACAGGATTACTTACTAGAGCACTTCATACTGGTTATACTTGCGAAAATAGTGGGAGCCACGACGATATGGCTGCAAGAAACTGTCGATCGAAGAGGGCTTCTGACGAACTGTCCTGCCGATGAGGTTTCGGACTTTTGTAGAATCACGAAAACTGGGATCGAATACCAATAGATTCGCCTGCCCGTCCATTTGCCTCTCGAAGCCGACGATTGTCAAAGAGTGGCCTATCTACATTCAGTGCCTGATGAACATGCTGATAGTTTGAGGTAGTCTTACCTGGGTGTTGTAGATAGATTGGTGGCAATTCCGTATGATGAATTCGGTCTTCGACACTTGTGATACCTCCTCGAAAGTATCCTTCGATAGCTTCAAAGAGACGCTGTTTCGACCTGCCGCGTTCCTGATCCTTAAATGCTTGAACGGAGCAACTGTCACTGTTAGTTACTTGTTGAGTTTCTCACAATAGTAATCTTACGGTATCTCCAAGCTGAGAAACACAGCCTGTGCCTGATTCTTGTTAGTCGACTGACTTGATACAAGTAGAGAGGATCATATACCTCTGGTGTACCAATGTATTTTCTTGTCCCCTTGATGCCTCCAGTCTCTGCTCGTCCTTGGGCATTGATACCCATGTCCCAAGCATTCTCGATGAGATCTTGGATCTGAAAGATGGAGGGAAACGTGCGCCCAAAGTGATTTGAACCTTCTCTCGAAGCAGCGATGATGTTTGAAGTGAGCATCTGGATGTTTCGATAGCCGCAGAAACCGCCTGTCATTTGTTAGACACCTCAGCTTACACAGCATCTGTCGAATCACCTTCTCGTCTCAATTTGGAAACATGTTGTACTGCAGGGTGACACAGGTAGGCATACTGTGTTGAGGGGCTTTGCTCAAGAAGCTGACTTAGAACGGGCAGAACACCTGAAATCGTTAGCTGCGGCTGGGGAACGTTACTAGATGGTACTCACCATCATTGACAACCTGACCTTCATCCTTAAGAAGGTCTACGAGCCAAGGGGGCATCTTTCTCTCATGCGCAAACCTGCCAAGATCGGACTTCTACTCTCATGTTAGTCACTACATCATAAGTATCAGGAATCTTGTAGTATCTCACCCCCAGACGAACGGTGGATTTAGCTCGATCGCTATTTTTATCGCGACTTGAAGAGCTTCTGCTGGTAGTCTTGGTGATACCAGCATCCTCTCTCTTGGTCTTGTGCCGTGTCCTACTACTGCTACCGCTACCGTTACTCTCCCTCCCATGAGAGCTACGCCCGGCGAAGAGGTCCTTCCAGGCCTGAATAGGGCTGACTTTCTTGTGCTTCCGGTCTCTCTCTCTGGACGACGGCTCCGGCTTCCGAGCCACAGCAGGAGTCTGTTCCGGCTCTGGCTCTGGCTCTGGCCCTGGCTCGGGCGTGGCGTCCTGCGCCTCGAGCTCGTGAAGCTCGAGATGATAAGCTAGCTCGTCCAGCCGAAGGATCTCACCGCAACCTTCGGGACACGAGATAGTATCTCCGGAGGTGGTGGGTGGTGAGCCGTCCGCGTCTGGGTGTTGCTGCTCTATGTGCTAGTCAAGGGGATGAATGTCTTAGTCTCAGCTAAACTCAACGCAAGCGGTAAGAAAGAAAGATCGGTGAGAGACACACTAGAATGAGTTCATATTCGCCTTGGCCCGGCTTGAAGCCGCAGAAAGGGCAAGGATCTGAGTTGGACATGGTGGTCAATTATTTCATGAATTAAGATGAAGGATGAGAAAGGTTGGGTTTAGGAGCGAAGTGAGAATGTTTAAAACGCGAGATAGAGAGCAAGTTCTATGTGTCTATGAGTTACCAAGTGCAGGAATTGTTTTGGCTGTAACAAAGATGGAGTGATTAAGGTCAAGAACAAAGAAAGAGTTGGGCGCGGTGAGAGAGGGCGTGTGGGAGAGTGATTCAGTCTGAGCCCGTGAGTGAGGCTGTGATGGCGGTACACGTACCACGTCTCCAGGGTCTCACAGCGTATTCAAAGTCAAATCACGGGAAGGGCACCGCTTAAGAAATGCTACCATTCAGCTGTAGCTTTTGACAACACCAATCACTATAATTAAGGTACCTAAGGACTGTTATTTACGGATACATACTCAAAATGCAAACACAGCAAATACATACAGCAGCGCCAAGTCAGTAAACCACATGGCGCAACGTCAGTACCACAACAAAGACCGCGGATCTCTCTATAGCGCCCGGATGATACCCTATTGCATTGTATAGCGGGACCATCCGAATAGAGTCAAGTTCCCGTCCAAACGGATCTCACAGTAACTTGCAGTACAGTACAAGACAGACCGCTCATGGAGGAGGGAGGGAGGGATTTAAAGAACTAAGCAGGTTAGCCAAACTAACAAGGCATCATGACTTGTTGGGAACCAATTATCAACGACACCGAGAATCTGGTGCCTTGGATTTGTTCTAGAAACTCGCTCTAAACAAGGTACGTATCGGTAGTTACAGCTCGATACATCCTTGCAAGTGTCACTCAGTCTCCTCTATCAGTCAGTCATTCAAGCGGTCATGAATCAGTTCACCAAGCAAGTCAGTTAGTCAGTCAGTCAGAGTCAGAGCCAGATAGTACAAGACAGTACAACAGAAATTTTCTAATAGTAGGTAAGCAAGCAACCAATCCCGAAACCTCCTGACCTGGACCTGGACCCCTCCATTGATTTGAACCATGTACTCTAGTTGTTAAGGCAGGCAAAACGAGAAAGAAAATGACACACCAAAGCTTGGTAGTTAGACATCGACATGGTACGACTTGACACCCTTTCCAATAGACAGTAACGGAGAATTTAACCAAAAGAGGGCACCCTATTCAAGGCCCTTGTTGTCTCAGCCCCGAATCACCTTGTGACCCTGTGACTGAGACTGTGACTGCCATCCATCGTGGGACGGCCTGGCCTGGTCAGAACTTGTGGACCGCCCCGCGGCCTGAGAAGACTGTATCGCCGCCATCGCGATCCTGATTGTCTGGCAAGATGATAATTGTGCCTCTTTGAATAGCATTCGCAATCGTTGTTTACATCAGAATGCAATTGCTCTTGGCCGGAGCCTCGCCTGGGTTCTGCGACTTCTCAATCTGTCCGATCAAGAGCTCGAAAGCCTTGCCCACGTTCTCGTTGTATCGCGCGCTCGCCTCGGTCCAGCCGCATTGAATCTTCTCCGAGAGTTTCTGTCCGTCTTCGGGTGTGACCTGTCGTTGCTCGGGGCGCAAGTCGCTCTTGTTGCCGACTATGCAGATGGGGACCGACTCGGTGCCCTAACATTGGTGCTTCAGCTTCAGCTTACGGGTTGCTTGTTTCGGGTTCTGGGAGCACTTACCAGGTGGTTGAGGATCTTCTCGCGAATGACTTGCACCATCTCGAAGGATGGCAGTGATGATACTGAGTAGACAAGCATGTAGCCATGGATGCCGATAAAGTGCTTCGAGTTGAGAATGCTGTACTCGTCCTGACCCGCTGTGTCGACGATCTCGGTTGAGTAGTCTTGGCCCTTGTACTTGATCATCTTGCTGAAGGTATTCTCAATCGTAGGATAGTAGCTGTCGACGAAGTGGCCATCGACGAACCGCACTGCTAGAGACGACTTGCCTGTGGTGCATCCATCGTCAGCAAATGTAATTGAGCATTCGGAATTAAATCGCCATCTGTTGAATAAAGAATAAAGAATAAAGAATAAAGAAATTGGGGAATACTGACCGACTGAGCG